ATCCTACTTTTTTTCAGTTTCAATATTTCCAACTCCCCCCAAAAAAAAAAAAAAAAAAAAAAAACGTGACCCAAGTCTGTCAGTGAAGCTGCTTTCTTTTTTTTTTTCCTTTTTTTTTTCTGGGTGACTTGATGGAAACTGGAAGAGACAGTCTGACTGCAGATGATACAGCTGTGACTTGTCACTCTGTGAATCTTTTCATTTGATATTCTCTGAAATCTCCAGTTACTCTTGATCTGATTGCTCAACAAAGCGCTCCATCCCTGTGATACTTTCTTTTCCCAACCACACAGAAAACATAAACTCCAGGCTCGCTCACAGATAGATGTCACAGTCAAGTGACTCACGTTGCACAGCGGAAGGTGTAATGGGACCTCCTGTCTCTGCCTGAGTTAACTGTATAAGATGTTTGTACATACGTTGTGCTGAACATATGTCACAGCCCGGACTCAGGAGGATGTGAAGGTACGGAGGAGGAGGAAGGCGAGGAGGAGGAGGAGGAGGATGATACAACACGTGAAGGAGACTCTAAAACACTGCTGAAATATTAATTGAGACGAGCATGTATGATGAAACCAACTGGAAGCCAAAGGAAACTCCTGTTGATTTAGATAACAGCATTAAGCCATGTGTTTTGGTCTGTGTAGGCGTGGGCTTATTAAAGGTGACAGGGTTTGAAAATTCAGTTTCAGAATTGCCCGTGTTTTGTTTTTTTCTGTCCAAAGGTTTAAATGGTTATAGTTTTCTCAGGTCTAATGGAGTGCAGGGTAATGGAGAATGGGTCCAAGGTGGTGGCAGCATCATGGCGTGGAGGAGGCTTTTCCTTTAGCAAAACTACAAGTGATACAAAGAAGTTCATTCTTCTGGACAGATATATTAACGATATACGGAGCATAAATGCATATAACATCTTTACAAAAACTGCACACAAGCATCATGGTATCATGCCTTGGAGATCATTTGCACACCCTGATATTTCAGTGATGACTGGAATTCAATACATTGTGCAGGTCTAGTTGCCAAGTTATCAGCATCATGTTTGTTAGGCAGT